GGAATCCAGTTGACTCTCAGAGCCCATAGGAAATTGCAAGGCTTCAGATTCTGCTCTGAGACACAACTTTGCTCATCCTTGTAACAGTTCAGGGTGTGGTAGAAGCGAGGAAAGGGAAGGAGGTAAGTCAGTAGCAGTATTTGGCATGGAGGGGTCACACCTGACTGCTTTCTGGGTGGATTCTGTCTCACTGTGAGGTGTAACTGGGGTGGTGCTGGGGTCAGTGCACTGCTGAGCTGAAATCAGCCAGTGCCTCTGAGAGCCTGGCTTGCTTTTTCGGGCTACACACCTTGCTAAGGCAGCTACACAGCTTTGGGTCTGGGCAAAACATTCTCATGGCAACAACTCTGCAGACATGTCCGCAGTGTAAAATACTAAGGCTAGATTCTCATTTCCTGTTGTCTTTTTTCCCCATTTTTGCATCCCCCTAACAGAGTAAAAAAGTCCTACAAGAAAAAGACACATGCTCTTCCTTTAGAGCACTTTCAGAGCAAAAATGGTCTGCTGTGAAACAGAGATGTTGTCCTTTTGAGGCTCTTGGTTAGAATCCATCTCATATGACTTCAGTTTCCTGGGCTCACTTTTTGGTCAGTGGCAAGAAACAGGCAGTTAAGGGCACAGTTCTCCTGGCCTATTTTCATACCTATTTGAAGATAAGCTAAATAACTCCCTAGCAGTCCCCACTCCTTGAAGGAAGCTGTGAAGACACCCTAGACAGCTGACTCAGCCAGCCATACACATGCCTAACACTGGTGGAAAACAGTCTCATTGCTTTAAATGTGGTCAGTTGCAGTATCAACCTTGGACTCAGGTTCTTCTATAGCTATAGAAGATAGCTATAGAAGATTCCAAAAGGTGTATCCACTTACAGTATTGTTGATCACAAGTCACCTGCTCAAAATCATGAAAATGGTGTGAGACTTATGATTAAATATGATACTGCTGTCTTCTTTCTTCCACTTTTTATTTAGCATTTGGAGATTTTGGGTATATTTTTGTCACATTTTCTGCTCTTACCCTTCATCTCAAGGCTTAAATGAAAGGATAGTTTAAAATGAGGGCAAGAATCTTGTAATTGTTTGACTGTGGGAGCTGAATATAAACTCAGCTGCCATGTCAATGCCACTTATGCAAAATAAGCTGCTAGGACACTGTAATATTTTGCTAAGAGTCAGATAGATGAGTATACTTCAGCTTTACAGTTGAAATAGTATGAGCAATTATGATATTGCATTAAGATCTATTTGCTAAGGGTGTAACCCAAAACATGAGTTGTAGTAGACTAAGGGAAAGCTCTGTCAGACTCAGTGTTGCAAATATGTTCAAGGACAAGAACAAATACTCCCATTTCCCACTGATTTGAAAGTGTTTGTCCTATTCTTTGGACTGCAAACATGCCTTCTTTAGGCAGCATTCCCCATTCAGATGAGTGCCAAGATGCTGTCAAGTCCAATGGTACACAGCATTTGCTTCACCTAGCATTATGGGTGGGCAACTTACTCTGAAAACATGAAAAAGCTTTTACGTTTTGCACTATTGTTTAGACAGACATTTAATCAGGAACTGCAGAAACTTGTATTGAGTAGAGACCTCAGGGCAACAGGTGAGGTTGCCAGAGGGGAAGCATCCCTTTGGCTGAAAGACAAATGCTGTGACAGCTTGAAATCCATCTCTAAACACCTTATATAGGCTGACTCAGCAGATCCTGAGATCTACTGCTCTCTTTAAGGCTGCAAGCTCCACTCTGAATATACTTCTTACCTGTCTTCTCTGTGCATTTATCACTGCACTAAGCAGAAATTCTGATGGCAAACAAACTTTTACTATCCACTATCCATATCCCACTGTTCAAAGACCTCATTGCAACACAGGATGAACCAGTTTTTCAAGTCTGGACCTGAATGTGTTACTGGCTGTACAGGGCTTAGGTCACAGCCTGACCTTGTAGAGGTCCATTTCTCAACAAGAGAAAATGAAGGTTATAAAAGCGAGGAAAGGCTCAGAGGTGAAGGAGGGTAAAGCACTGTAAAACCAACCATAGTTGCTTAGGATGTGTCAAAGGGGAGATACTTTGCTCCAGGTTCATTACAGACATACTGGTTTTTTTGTTTTCTGCAAAATATGCCTCTCGCTTACAAGTTTCTTGTGTGAGACAGAGGGCAAAGTTCTCATAGCTGCCCTGTTGTGTGATGCGTCAGAGGGTCCCACCCTGTGCTGCACCCAGGTTATGCACTGATAACCCTCCTCTTCTAATCTGTAAGGAGGAGCAGTTAGTCAATGCGGTTTTACAGTTTCTTGCCTGGGAAAAGCTTTTGAGCAGTTTGTGGCACAGGCTTTGTTATTGATAGGATGTAGCTGATCAAAATCACAGAATCATTAGGGTTGGAAAAGACCTCTGAGATCACTGAATCCAACTTATGACCTAACACCACCATGCCAACTAGACCATGGCACTAAGTCCCATGTCCAGTCTTTCCTTAAACAGCTCCAGGGATGGTGTCACAGTGATCACCTAAACAGTTAGTGGAGGGATAATGGATAATTTCACATGCAGACAAATAGCAGCAAAATTTCTCATGCCATTGCTGTAATTCATAAGACTCTGAAATTATCTACATGACCTTCATGCTTGTAGGTATAACTGCAACCATAATCTGTGCCATAATTTTTGCTTTTACCTTCTCCAAGACATATAAAAGAGCACTGCATAGCCAGGAAATAAGAAATAGGCAACTCACAGAGAAGATATAAGCTGAAAATCTGTCACAATGGAAACTTGTTTCCTTTTAATCTTAGATGACATATTTTTACTTTGGCTGTCATTAAATATAGATACAAAACATGGAGGAATTGTAGCAAATTCAAACAGATATTGAGTTTTTATTCAGCAGCTGTATTTAGCACATTGGAAACTGGGATCTTGCCAGAACTTGCTTGTGGTTAATGTTCAATAGGCATATTTTTTAAAAAAAGTAAAAAAACCCCCAGAAGTTCTGGGCATTTGCATGTGAAAGGTCCTTGCACACTGGCCTTCTTTGAAGAGCCAGTGTAAACACTCGTGCTTGCTTCCTGTATTATTTTTGCCTCAGAACATTTTCCCTCAGACATCTCTGACTGAATGCCTGGGCTAAGCATCTTGCAGACAACAGTGCTACAGCTCAAGCCTTTCTTAGTGAGTATCTGCTCCATGTGAAGATTTATAGCTGTGTAGGTTTTTGTTATGTAAAGCTGTTTTCAAACTCCACTTGCAATAAAGTTAGTTTACTGCAATTGCATGGTCCAATTACAGACTTATCTCTTCAAATCTTGTGTCATCTGTGATTCCCTTACTACCCTTTGTGGTCCTATTCATACAATTTCATAGGTCCCTTTAAACTTTTCTCATTATTTATCTGTGGTTATGGCATCCCTCCATAAAGACACCCACATTTCTCAACTTATTTGTTGAGTGCTTTAGATCTAAACCATACCACACAGTTGTTTCTTCCAATCCTTAGAAAATCTGTATTTCATGAGTGAAATTATTTTTAGGAACATTCTCAGATTTAGGGTGGATATTGTGAAATAAGCTAGTCAGACAGCCTATCTCCTAGAGTTATAACAAAGAGGAGTACTCCAGAAAGGAGCTCAGAAAGTCAAAAGCAGTATAGACCCATTCTTGAAAATGGGAATGTTTGTGTCTGTTTAAATATAAATATAATCAGTGAAAGGGAATGGAGAGATTAGAATGTCACACCTTCATTAAAAGCTAGTTTAGAGAGCAGCTAGAGGAAGTTGTTTTAAATGTAGAGGAAATGTGTTTTATCTGTGGATCCTACAAAAGCCAGAGTTTAAGATACATCTTTTTGTCACCACCTACAGGTGTGTTATATACTAACACTTTCCATTTGTTTTCAAATACAGACAGCAGAATTGAAGAATTGGGAACTGACACTGAAGACTGGGTTTGGGCCGAAGTGGCTTCATAAATCAGTTCAGATCAGCATGTCCTTAATCTCTCACATTGTGTTCACCTGAAAAATAAAGCTTCTTTTTAATGACAAACTCAGGGAAACCTGTGTCTGACCCTCATCCCTTCAAGGACTGCTCTATGGGACTTCTTCAGAAAATAGACCAATAGAAAAAAAACAGAGCAATGATACCTTTATTTTTCCCTCAGGATTCCTAGTTGGAGTGACACAAAAGAATAGAAAAAAGACATAAACCCAAACTAATGAGATAGATTTATTGCCTTGCCTTCTGGAATGAATCTAGCTCCCATTGTTGAGAGGTTTCCTGCAACTGATGCCAGAACTGGGATTGCTGCAGTGAGGTTCACAACACTTCTGGAAACCTGCACAGCAGGACATTTTGTGCTCCACAGTGCTCAGGTTCCTGGGGTCCTGACTTGTTGAGGAAGAGGAAAAGGATCTGAAGCAGATACTCAGAAGGAGAAAATTTAGACAGATTCCTTACCACTCCTCTGCCAGGATAAAACAGACCTTTATGCTGCCATTTTAACATCTGAGGTGGTAGTGTGAACACAACTGAATAAATGCTGGTACTGATTGTTGGCAGTGAAAAAGTAAACCCTGCAATGTAAAGCATTAAGAAACGCAATCGTTCCCACTGCTTAAAAGCAGGTCTGTAAAATGCTTTTATGCTCACTTCCCTTTCTCTTGAAACTATGGCTTTTGTGGCATTTTTTACTTGTGAGGCGTAGGGCACATAACAGGATTACAGGGAATTGCAATTCACAAAGACGCAATAAGCTTCTGGAGACTTGGTGGTAACACCTAGTAGTGCTTCCCCAAAGCTCTGGTTAATGTTTACCCATGGTAAAAGAACCATTTAAGTAATTGTCGATGACTCAGTCATAATTTTTGCTTTCAGTAGGAGAGCATGGTGTATTGACGTGGTTTGAGAGGTTTTCTGAAGACACAAGAACACCTTTTGTATCGAGACCAAACTCTTAGGAAAGCCTCTTCTGCAGTGTTCGTTTTTGTCTCAGCTTGTTGAAAATGGCGGGTGTAAGCGGCTGCTTGAAGTATTCCATGTTCATCTTCAACTTTTTATTTTGGGTAAGTTAGTGTTTAAACTGTTATTAGTGATGCATGAAATGTGTTCACTATTATCTGAATGCTGTAGTGAAAGGAATTGTAAAGAAAATGGAGCATAAGTGGAACCAGAGTATGCTTCTAAATCAGGGAGGGGAGAATATGTTTAACTTTTGCCCTTTCCTTTGTCTTGTTCCTTCTAAATACCTTTCCCTCCACATTCAAAAGTAGGCAAGGCACAAGTCTGTCTCCCTGCTCATATGGTGCCTCTCATGTCAAGGGATACCACTTGTCTCAGTCAGAAGATAACAGACTCCCCATTTATGCTGCATCATTCTCTTCCTTTGGCTGTCTGCTGATTGCATCCAAACAGCATGATCCTGAAAATGTAGTTGCAACAGAAAATACAGAAAATTCACTTTAAGTTTTAGCCTCCTAGTTGATATATGGTTTTTATATCCTTCCTTGTAGTTCTTTGCTTTATATTCAGTGCATAATTAGTTTCTGATGGTGGACAGTAAATGTTTGTAAGATGGGATGATCTGGCAGTACTGTCAATAGCTGTATCAAGGCCAATACCGCACAGTGCAGCAGGCAGGTTTTTGGGTGTCATTTGAACCATATTTCTCTGTTTATCACATCTCAGCTGGTTTGAAAGAATTTCAGGTCCTGCAGACTCCAGAAAGGTTTGGGTTAAAGAACATTTCTCTCATGGTTCAACTTCACTGTCAGATTTCCTGACAGAGATTTGTTGGGTTCACCAGAGGTTCACTAAAACCAGAAGAAGAACTACTAGCCACATCATGGGCTTTGCCTCAAGGGATTTTTTTCAAGTGAAAAGGTGACACCATTCAAAAGGGTCTGCACACAGTAGCCTCAGAAAATGTGGGTCTGTGAAAAGATGAGAAGAAAAAAATTCTTTGATTGCTTGTGGACCTCACAAAGAAATTCATGACAGGCCAGTGATGGTTTGGACTGTCTCCCTCAATTTCTTTCACCACCTCCATCAAGGCAGATTGAAGATATTTGACATTGGTGTTGAAGTTTTTCTGCAACAGTACTTACAAGAATCTGTAAATTTCTGAATTGGAATTCCTGCCCCTCAGGAAACTTTTCCTGTTGTCATAGTTTAAACTTAATCATCAACCAAGCTCCACGCAGCCACTCTCTCCCCAGCCTGTGGGATCGGGGAGAGAATCAGAAGACTAAAAGGTAGGAAACTCGTGGGTTGAGACAAAGACAATTTAATAGGGAAAGCAAAAGCCATGCATGCAAGCAAAGCAAGGAATGAATTCACTGCTTCCCATGGGTAGGCAAGTGTTCAGCCATCTCCAGGACAGCAGGGCTCCATCATGTCTAATGGTTACTTGGGAAGACACATGCCACCACTCCAAACATCCTCCCCTTCCTCCTTCTTCCCTCCACTTTATATGACCATCATGATGTCGTATGATGTGTAACATCCCTTTGATCAGTTGGGGCCTGCTGTCCCAGTTGTGTCCCCTCTTGATTTTCCGTGCACCCCCAGTCTTCTTGCCAGTGTGGCAGTATGAGCAGCAGAAAAGGCCTTGGCTCTGTGTAAGCTCTGCTCAGCAGTAACAGAAACATCTCTATATTATACCAGCTAAAGAAAACACAAATTCAAAACACAGCCCTATAGTAGCCACTGTAAAGAAAATTAACTGTACCCCAGCCAAAACCAGAACACCCTTTCACATATGTGTATTTACTGTAAGCTAAAACATGGGCAAATGTTTCAGACTAGCATTCAAAGAGCTCCAGACTACTTCTGGAATGAACATGTGAACAATGCCCCATGCCTGCAGTGACAGCATGGGTTTCCTAGGGGGAGAAAACCAAAAAACATGGGATCCTGGGGGGAATCTAGAAAGTTCAGGAAACAAGCATGTGTGGAACAAGGTTCGTATCTTTGTGCCAAAGGCAGGAAAATGCTGAGCATTTGCTGTGCATGTGACTGTCTGGATGGAACAGAGGACAGGAATGCAACTATAGGTAATTATTTTAAAAGAAGGTGTTTAGCACTATCAAGATTGGGAAGAACAAGTGTGGCACAAACAGGAATAGGGGCTGGTGGAGTACAATGAAACTGAATGATTTTGTTCACATTCCTGTCTCTAATTCCTGGGAATAATTAAACTGCTATAGTAAAGTAGAGGGAACAGTGATGCATTTACAGCCACTGGTCCCACTACTGCTTTCCCTGGTGCACAAGGAAGTTGGCAAGTGGAAAATTACTAATAGTGGGACATGAAGGTGACTTTAACTTTAACTAGATAAGAACAACAGTTGCATATTTACCTGGTGTCCTTGCATTTTACACCCTTTGCAATCTCTCTGGGAGTATCCCCTCCAAAGGACTCGGGAAGAGCTTCCCAGCCTTCTGATGCCTTTTTCTAAGCAGTACAACATTGCACTAAGTGTATAAACCCTGGAATAGTCTCAGACAGCTCTGCAAAGTGGCTACAGCTTCAGTACATGCATATCCCCTCTGAATCTACAGCCCCATGAGGCCCATGCTGGGCTCCAGAATATACATAGAGTTTTGCATCTTCCCAGTTTGGTGAAAAAGAGCTGACCATGGGCTTTTGAAGACCTGTGCTTTGAAGCTGGGTGGCTATATGGAGTTTCTAATAGTCCTGAAGTTAATCCTTCTTGGTTTTGTTCATTAAACCTGATACATATGTCAGATTTTTCCTCATTCCCTTCTTCAGAGTTTGCACAATGTCCAGTCTCTCCTGCTGCCCTCATTGTGTCAGCTTCTGCTGCTCCACATCATCTAAATTGTAGAATTACCTTCCCC